ATTTAAAATATATAAACATTAAGCAGTCCTGTCTGTTGAGAGATTCTGGCCTAGATTACATATTTGACCCTGGTTTCCTTCTAGAAATTATATCTCTCCATAAATTAACACGTGATTCCAATGAGAGAGCAAATTCCGATGAATTATTAACAAATTCAATAAATGGAAACCAAACATTGAAAAATATTGTTTCTGTTTGCTGGCATTCTGTATCACAAACAGGGAAGGTTAGCTTTTTCCATTAAAGCAGCATTCCAAATTCATGTTATCCATGGCTCTACTGAGGGGGCATCTACACTGTAGAAATAATGCAGTTTGACACCACTTTAACTTCCATGGCTCCATTTTACAGAATCCTGGGATTTGTAGTTTTGAGAAGCACCAGCAGCACTCTTTGGCAGATAAGGCTATAGACCTTGTCAAGCAACATCTCACAATTCTGTAGGATGGAGTTACAGTACTTAAAGTGGTGTCAAACTGCTTTATTTCTACAGTGTAGATGCACCCTGAGCGATTATTCAGAGATTTCCATTATAGAGTAATACTCAGTAATTCCCTCTATATAATGCCACTAGATGTAAAGTCTTGCAATTAGCCAAAAAATATTATTAATTCTTTATGTTTCAGTACACTACCTTGATCAATAAATAGATGGCCACCTAATTGGGGGTACATTAACTGTGGATTCCTGCCCTGGCAAAGGGCTGGATTAGATGACCCTTGGGGGTACCTTGCGACTCAGTGATTCTGAGGATATTCAACACTTTAAATACTCTTTGGAACCAGTGGGTTGTCTGCAAAGCTGATGCAGGTTGAGTCTCCCTTATTCGGAATTACAAAATATGAAATATTCCAAAATCCCAGATTGCCCACCTTTGCTTTTCCAATGATTCAGTGTACACAAACTTTGTTTCATGCACAAAGATATTTTAAAAATAATAGGTATAAAATTAACTTCAGGCTATGTTTATAAGGTGAATACAAAACATACACAAATTTCATGTTTAGATGTGGGTCTCATCTCCAAGATTATCTCATTATGCATATGCAAATATTCTAAAATCTGGAAAACTCCAACATCCAAAACACTTCTGGTTCCAAGAATTTCAGATAAGGGAGCCTCAACCTGCATTTCTGAGTATTTAATTTTTGTAAGCCAGCCCCATGGAGAGAGCCTTGCAGTAGTTTAGGCTTTATTTCAGCTGTCATGGGTAGAGAGGTAGATTCAGAGACAGGATCATGGCAAAGCATGAAATGTCTCTGGAAGAACTGAAAAGCTATTTTTCCCCCAAGAAAGGAATTAAATTAAAAGAGGAATTTAATCAGTTCCTTAACTGACTTAAGTTTCAGGAGAAGGAATTAAATTAAAGCAGGGCCATGACTTGGGGTCAGCATAGAAACTACTTGGGGTCAGCATAGAAACAGTGCTCTGTGTAACACAAGTGTGGCAATCATGCAGCTCTCCAGACGTTGTTTGACTGCAAATCCTATCAGCCCTAGCATAGCCAATGATGCAGAATGCTGGGAGCTGCAGTCCAGCAACATCTGGAAAGTCTCACAGCTCCCAACCCTGGTGTAATAGAAATGCAGTAATGGATTTGTCCTTCTTTGACAGGTCCGGTGGGCAGCGCCTTAAGCTCTCGCTATGGCGCACGTCCTGTCATCATGGCCGGCGGGTTTTTCTCTGGCTTGGGGTTCTTGTTGGCCTCATTTGCCACCTGCCTGGCTCACCTGTACCTCTGCATCGGGCTTCTGTCAGGTAAGTTCCCGGTGGAAACAGCATCCTTTGCATACAGACCAGTTACCTGTGCCAATCCAGATTAAAAACAATCCACAATTTGGAGAAACCCTGATTCTGCAGCTGGGGAGGATAGGAGGTGTAGTTGGACACAGCCAGAGGGTTGGGGGAATATGTTATGCTAAACCAGCTTTCTTCTCAACCCGCTGTCTGTGTCCAACTACATTTCCCATCATCCCCTGCCCGGTGGGTGGTCTAGTTCACTGCAACTGGATGGCTCCCAGTTGGGAAAGGCTGCACTAAGTGAAGTCAGTCTGTATTTTGTTCATGGTTCATTTACTCGGTTCATTAAAATGCACTTGCACAATTTTATTTTGCTTCGAGGATGGGCGTGTTTTTTTTGTTAAAAAAGAGGTGAAGTACAGACAAGCAAGGGAGCATTGGAGAACAAAACCGGCCTTCACAATAAATGAACTGAAGTTCGGTTACTCAGGTTTAGTTACCAAAGGGCTAACGGGAAAAACAGGTTTTCCTATGAAGATGCAAAATTAGCTGGCGTTCAAGATGGCTGCCGTGTGGGAACTACAAAGTCTCTTTCACAATGGCTGCCAAGAGTATCCTTAGAAGAGCTGGCAAAAGGTATTGGACTACTGAGGGTAAGGATGGTGAGCGGGGGAGGTTGGCCCTGGTGTTCCCAGCCTAGGAGGCCTCTTGAGGGAACTTTTAGTGTGAAGCCCGCCATCTTGGACAAAGGAAATAGGGCGTCGATGTTGTCCATGGTGACGTCGTTTCCTACTACTTCCGTCTCTTGCCAGGTTTTGGCTGGGCCTTGGTCTTCACACCTTCACTGGCTTCGGTGGCTCGATACTTCAAGAAGCGGCGGACGTTGGCCACCAGTCTGGCCTTGACCGGTGTGGGCCTCTCTTCCTTCGCCTTCTCCCCACTCTTCCAACTCCTGGTTGACACCTACGCTTGGCGTGGAGCCCTCATGATCGTGGCCGGCATGTCCTTCAACCTGATGGTGTGCGGTGCCCTCATCCGGCCACTGACCCTCAAGGAAGACCTCTCTTGTCCCTTGAGTGGAGACCCTGAGAAGCCATGCTGGAAGAAGTTGTCCTCTCTCTTTGGCCTACACCTCCTCTCCCACTGGCCTTTCATGCGCTTCGTCCTGGCCATTACTCTTGTCAACACGGGCTATTTCATCCCCTACATCCACTTGGTGGCTCGGGCAAGGGAGCTTGGCTTCGACGAGTACCAGGCTGCCTTCTTGATGTCCGTGGCAGCCGTGGCCGACCTCTCTGGCCGCCTCTTCTCCGGCTGGCTGGGGAACTGCAGGGCCTTCCGGCTGATCCACATCTTGGTGACGTGGACTTTCTTGACGGGCGTTGCCTTGCTGCTGATCCCGTGGGGCCGCACGTACCCTCTCCTGGTGGCCATCAGCCTTGGCTACGGGTTCTTCTCCGGAGCCCTCACGCCGGTGGTCTTCTCCATCATTCCAGAGATTGTGGGCATCGGGAACATCTTCAGCTCCATGGGGCTCCTGCAAATGATCGAGAGCATCGGAGGCCTCCTGGGGTCACCCCTCTCTGGTAGGCAGGCGCTCTCTTAAACCACAGCACCCCCTCCAAGTAAATAAATAAATAACCGGGGGGGGGATTTTTGGAGTTAGGGGGCCATGTTGACCTCCTGGAAGAACTTAGGGAGCTGGAGTGGGGTTACTCCCCCACAAATCAAAATGGGTTATTATTATTTTTAATTTTATAATTTTGTAATTTTTACATACACAGATGCATACACAAAAGGTAAAGGTGGTGGTTTGTGTGTGTGTGTGTGTGTGTGTCTGTAAAGAAATGTATAGGTTTTGTTTATATGGATTTGATTTGGGATTGTGTGTGTGTGTACAGTACAGTGTATAGTATGTGTGCATAATATGCATACATGCATTATATATACAGATGCTATTAAATAATAATAGTATACACATTGTGTATATTAGAGATTCCATATATTGATATGCACATACATTTACCATCTGTGTGTGTGTGTGTGTGTGTGTGTGAGAATATCTGTATATATATATATATATATATATATACCCTCTGTGTGTGTGTG